AGGTAAACAATAGAGAACTCCGCCTTATTTACAAACTCCGCCTTATTTCCCCATGATCCTTTGCTTTTGTTTACCACTCCCTCGTCATTTTCCTTTCTGACGAGTCTCAATAAAAACCCAGAAAGGTGGAGCATAGAGGCTGCAGTTCTCCCAGTTGTGAGGCCTCTGCCTTCATACTTTCTGGCCTGACCTGCGTTCCTGCATGTCCTCGTCGGTCTTTTCCTTCGGTTGACATTTTGGCGCCTGGACCGGGGACCTGAAGAGGTAGTAGTTTCTCACTCTCTCTCTTGCAGACACCAGGAAACTGAAAGGGAATTCGCTCCTGGTAAGTGAAACTTTCGGGAAAATTAAAGGCTGTATCACGAGGAAATCCTCACCCCTTGGAAGTCAAGTGTAGAAGTAGAAAAAGTTTTGGGGACAGCAACAGCGGGTGGCAGCCTTGCGGCCATTGCTCTTCAGCCTTACCACCATGAGCACCAAACAGGTCACTTACAGGTATTTTATGCATGGTGTGTGCCGTGAAGGAAACCAGTGCCCGTTCTCACATGACTTGGCAAACACCAAACCCTCAAACATCTGCAAGTTCTATCAGAAGGGCTGGTGTGCCTATGGAGCTCGTTGCAGATATGACCATACAAGACCTTCTACTTCAGCAAGTGGTGCCGCAGGTACCACATCCCACAGTATACCTGCCCCAGCTTTCACAGGTCCCAGCTCCCAGGTGGGAACAAAGGAGGACACTTCAACAATTCAGGTCCTCCCAGAAGAGCCGTGGGTGAGCATTAACGTTGCTTGTAAGTCTATTCATTTCCTCATGAACACAGGAGCCTCTTATTTGGTCCTATGAGCCTTCTCAGGTCCACTTCCCACTATTACTTAGTTGTTGGAATTGATGGCAAACCTCTTAAGTAGGTATTTTGGACTTCTGTCCTAGGCATTCCTAATCATAAGCCTTTTAGCTTAAGAAGTATCTTCCCTCTGTAACTTGGTTTCTGCCACTGTTAGAACCACTAGTTGGGATATTATTGCTTTTAATTTTTGGCCCATGTACTTTTTTTTTTACCATGCAATTTTTTTTTCTTTTATTGGGAAAAACATATTGGGGTACAAGGAGTTGTGGGTTAGGGGCAGAAGGGTTAGGATGAGCCAGGATACAGTTGCAGAGCTGCACAACTTGGCCAGTGAGGGGAGCAGGTGAAGGAAATGATGAGGGTCCAGTGGGCACTAGATGCTACAGAGGAATGACAAGCGTTTTCCAATGGTAATTAAGCCGACTGTCTTATTGATTTGGGAATTGGATGCCAACTCTCTGGCTTCTTCATGCTGAACAGGGGCATAGATGTAAAGGGGGGAAGGGAGGACGCTTTATCTCCTTACTGGTGGTCTTGAGTTAAAGCTGCTTGCCTTCTTCCTCTTTAGAAGATATTTTCCCATCATTTGCTCCACTCTGTACTGCAAAGTGTTTTCCCAGGTGGGTCCAGTGGGGATGGCTGGTTGAACACAGAGGCTCCATCCTCCTTTGCTTCCTTAGCTGTCAGTTGTATTTCCTTTTTGTCACTGGCTCTGGGTTCAGGGTCAATTCTGGAGTAAAACTCAGTGTTAAGGTTACCTATAGGAAAGGGAGCAAACCTAGAGAGAACAAACTTGGGAGTTGCAAATAGATGGGCTTTGAGGGTGTTGCTTTCAGGTTTACTGAGGGGAAGGGTGGCAGAAGGTGGCCTAGGTAACATTCTCTGGATACCCTAGGCATTCTTTTCCCCCCCCTTCCCCACCCAGGGGTCAGATGGTACAATCTGGGGGCTGAGGAGGTCATTCTGAGGGCCACGACAGTTTGCCCCGAGCCGGGGGCTGAGGGCAGCCCATCCTGAGCAGGGCAACACCCCCCAGGAGCTGGCTGGTATACTCCCCCTCCAATTGCCCCTACCCCAGTCTGGTCCCCTCGCCTGACTGAGGACTCTGTCGTCAGGGATAGTGTCTCCAATTCCAGTACTGCCACTTCCCCCCCACAAAAGTGGTCAAACTATATTTTGAAGTAGGTCTCAGGTTCCCTTTATTATATATAAACAGACTCCCCCCAGGTCTAACCATCTTTTGGCAGAAGCATTCAACAGAACAAAATATGTGGTGCATTTAGGATATTGGTCCTCTTGTGCATGCTGCCACTGTTAAGGTCATCAGACTCACAGTCACTTTGAGCAATCCATTGTATAGGTAATTGTCTTCTTTGGCCTGTCCAAGGAAACCCAAACCTGCAGATGGTGGGCATTGCATCCCATCCCCCACCTCCTATGCAGGCGGCCAGCGGGTAGTGCGCCCCCCCCCCCGGCATGGGTGGCCTGCGTGAGTGCGGCCCCTCTTGTGCAGGTGGCCGGAGGGCTCCTGCTTCCCCCACTGCAGCCATCCTGGCTCCAAGAATTCTCTCCAAAACAAGTCCACCTTGCGGCAGTGTGGTGGCTTCACTGTACCAGTCTTGAGGAGGACCGGTGCCCAGCATCCATCCTGGGTGAGGGAATCCATTGGTTCCAGCTGTGGAAGCCTCATGGAGCTGTAGCGGCTGTGCAGCATGGCGCAGGCTCTGCAGGAGGGGGTTGGGAGCCACGAGACTCACCCATTCCTCCTTGGGAATCCTTGAATTCCTGTTGTTGAGCATCGATCTTCACTGAGGGCCAGTCATCAACTGTTTAAGTGTTCAATTATCAATAAGCCGAAGTCTGTGGAAGGCCATAACGGCCCTGCTTTAAGTGGTTCGCTGCTCCCACAGCTCACCACGCTGTCTCTGCCTCTGCCGCCATCTTGGATTGGCCCATGTACTTTTAATTTGCTAGTTAAATTTGTGTCTTCTAGGCTGTGACAGTTCCGTACTAAAATGATGCATCTCCAATTATAAGAACTTGTATTCCTATGCATAATCAATAACAGTGCATCTAAATTCCAAAAGCAATTGCCACAATAGTCTACATGTTTCCTCTTGCCAAAGGGGACCATTAGAGTAGTGAGAGAAGATCTTCACCCTGGGACCTACAACGTCCTCTTCTAGCAGGAAGTAGCTAAGAGAATGTGAAGCCCCTCTCCTAATGATTCAGGGAGGAGTCACAGGGAATGGCAAAGGACATGTTGACAAAGCAGATCAATCAGAACTGGTTTTGACAAAGGACTGTGGCAATATAACAATAGAAATCGACCCTCCAGGAATGAAGCTATATGACAACAAAAACAGACTCTCAAGGAATATCAAACTTAAATCCTTCTGATCATACAGAGAATTTTGGAAGTAATTTTGTGAACTCATTTTGCTTAATTGGTTATATTTGTCTGATTATATATAAAGGATGACGAGAACAAAACACAAGCAAGAATGGATCTTGAAGAAATCATACTCACCTTGATGACCATATCAAATTTAATATTAGTAATAAATGAAATGTTGTATCAGGAGATGAGGGAAGCATAATACAAGCTAGAATTCACCCTGTAGCACTAAAGTAATCCTTAAATCTTTACAGGGTTAGGCATTAAGGCAATTCTTAAGGTCTACATAATTCTTAGTTTGTATTTACTGACTCCTTCCCTCCTGTGATGAGAATAAGGTAAATAACAGAGAAGAACTCTGCCTTAGTTACAAAAGAGTTCTCCAGATCCTCTGTTTTTGTTTACTAATCCCTTGTGATTTTCCTTTGTTTATCTTCCTGCCAATTCTCAATAAAAACCCACAAAGGTGAGGAAGGCGCTGCGCTTAAACTGAATTAAGCGCGGAGGACGCCGGCGGGGCCCTCATTGGGAGAAACAAGGCTTTCAGCACAGCAATGGGACGCCAATCCTCAGACACTGAAAAAGACAGCAGAAGTAAGAGAAAGAAGAAATACTGGAGACGGTCATCTTCAAGCAGCTCTTCAGACAGTAGAACATACAGCCAAAAGAAGGGCAGGAGGAAGTCTAGGTCAAGGTCAAGGTCTTGGTCCAGAGATCTTCAGCTTAGTTCACATTCTTATGACAGAAGATGCAGGCATCGATCAAGCAGTAGCTCCTCTTACGGCTCCAGAAGAAAACGAAGTCAAAGTCGATCACGGCGTCGGGGTCGTGGGAAATCCTATAGAGTGCAGCGGTCTAGGTCAAAAAGCAGAACTCGAAGGTCCAGGTCAAGACCTCGCCCACGTTCTCACAGTCGGAGCAGTGAAAGGTCCAGTCACAGGAGAAGCCGTAGTCGGTCCCATGAAAGAGAAAGACGTAAAGCCAGAGAGAAGGAGAAAAGAGAGAGGGAGAAGGACAAGGACTCGCACGTCAGACGCGGGGAATCTGGAAACATCAAAACTGCATTAGAACTTCTGCCACCAGCTGAACAGGCCAAAGCTAGGCTACAACTGGTTCTTGAAGCTGCTGCCAAAGTGGATGAAGCATTGAAAGCCAAAGAGAGAAATGAGGAAGAAGCTAGAAGAAGAAAGGAGGAAGATCAAGGCACCCTGGTAGAACAAGTGAAAAGAATAAAAGAAATTGAAGCTATTGAAAGTGATTCTTTTGTTCAGCAGACATTCAGATCAAGTAAAGAAGTCAGAAAGTCAGTAGAGCCAAGTGGTGTGAAGAACACGGTGGCAGCATCAGCACCAGTGTCAGCAGGTGCTGACCCACCCAGTACTGAGAAGGAAATCGACCCTAGCAACTTCCCTATGGCTATCAAGTACCAGGATGACAATTCTCTGGCCCACCCAAATTTATTTATCGAGAAAGCAGAGGCTGATGAAAAGTGGTTCAAGAGATTAATTGCTCTCCGACAAGAAAGGCTGATAGGCAGTCCTGTGGCCTGAGTCGTAGATGTATGTTTTCATTGATAGTAACGTTGGAAATTGAGGGCTTTATTCACTAGTCATTTTTTGCTCTTAAAATGAATTTAATTGATTATCTAAAAAGGGAAATTCTCTTTTATTCTTTTCCATGTAGGTAGGCTTCATGTTTGTTGCTTTGATCTCAAGTAAACACTATATACTAAAACTAGTATAAAATCTTAGAGTGCATGAAACTGCCATCTCATTAACAAAGTTAATCATAAAATAATTGTTGATATAGAAGATGCAGAGCAGTGTTCCTGTGTAAAATTATGAAATTTTAAGTTTTCATTTCATGAATTGCTTAATCTCCCAAATGTAAGAATCAAATAATATCCTAAAATAGGAGATTTCATGTATCTTATATTTTAGAAGCATTTCAAACTTTTTATGTCACCTGACCTCAAGTTTTGTCATCTTGAGTAACATTTTAAATAAACTACAAGTGAGCATGGTACAAGGATGAAAGATTGCTTTTTAAATGCCTTCAAATAAATTGATTTTGCTTACAAAAACAAAAAACAAAAAAAAACCCACAAAGGTGTAGCATAGGAGCTGCAGTTCTCCCGGCTATCAGCCCTCTGACTTCATGCTTTCTGTCCTGACCCCATTGCTGTGTGTCTGCTTCTCTGTCTTTTCCTTCGGTCAACAAGAAGGTGACAATGCAAGTAGTCGGCAGTGAAAGGAGGTCCAACATAGGAGGTAAGGAGGGTCATTTAGCCCATTACTATTCACCGAGGCATCCTCCAAGTGAGGCACTGGCCTAACCACTACCCTTATACCACCTCACAGAATCCGCACATTCACGTGCCGCCACTGTCCTGCCCTTGTCGTATGGAAGAGGAAACTGAGGCAAGGAGCTCAGACTCCAAGCCCTAGTAAAAGACCCATTAGTTTACTTATTTTTTACTTATGTTTCAAAAAAGAACGTTTCCTGTCAGAAAAATTATAACCCAGTAGCATCCAAGTGTCTTTACATCTTGCTATTGTCCCGAGATGGTTTTGTCATCACTAAATGCCACTGCAGAAAGCCCGACACTGCTCTAATATGTCTACTCATTCCACTTGAATTTGGAGATCACTTTCCAAAACTATCCCTTCATGTTATTGCACAAACTCCATCTCTTATCACAGAGACAGCAGCTGGCTTGTGCTCTGATTCCCCAGACTAAACAGAACAGGAAGCAGGGCCCCCAGCTCCCAAGACCAGCACAACTGAACCTCATCCACTCAGGTTCTGTTGGGGTCATGGGACAGAGGCCACCTACTTGGACTGGTCCCAGGTGGTAGATTTAAGACATGCATAGGGATTTGCAATACAGGAACCAAAGTAGCATTCCTGGAGGAAAATGAGTTTTAGGTGTGCCTCCAATCACAGTATAAATCAACTCATTGCTGGTTTTAAGATGACATCACTGTGCTGATGGGAAGAATTATATACTTTTTAAAAAATATTACTTATTTGTGCTATCATTAACTTATGCAATTATTCATACACATTGCATATATTTCATTCATGCACATTTTTTTTGGTTTGTTGTTGTTGTTGTTGTTTCAGTGCCAGATATTTATTCCCCCCTCACACGGGGCAGCTCACACACAATACACACAGGCATTGGACTCATGGGCAGCACCCCTGGCCTCTGAGGGAAGGACAGGGTTTTCTCATGGCATGTGTATGTGACAAGAACAGAGGATGTTCTCTCCTGCCCTCTCACTGGGGAGTGAGGGGACCAAGGGGCAAGCTCCGCCTCTCATACCTCCCAGCCAATGAGAAGCCACCTTGGTGACATGTTTCATTCAAACCATTGTAGTAAGTGAAGAAGTGATTGGCCTGATCCTAGTCATTGCAGGAAAGGTGTAAACGGTAAAGGAAGGTACAGTATGTACTCAGCCATGAGAGGGGGAAGGTGACACAATCAGAAGCACGTGATGGTGGTGGTGGTGGGCAGTTATTGGGCTTCTGGGCTGCCTGGTCTCTGGTTCAGCAGGAAGAGGGTAGGAGAGATGAATGGAGCTTATTGCTTGGCATTGATAATGTCCACAAATTCAGGCTTCAGGGACGCACCACCCACCAGGAAGCCATCCACATTAGGCTGGCTTGCCAGCTCCTTGCAGGTGGCCCCTGTCACAGAACCTCCATAAATGATACGAGTACTTTGAGCCACTGCGTCAGAGACATTGGACTTGAGCCATCCCCGGAGCTTTTTATGTACTTCCTGGGCCTGCCAGGGTGTTGCAGTCTTGCTGGTACCAATGGCCCACACTGGCTCATAAGCCAAGACGACCTCGCTCCAGTCTGTCACGTTATCTGCGATGACCTTCGTTTGCTCAAAAACGACCTTCTCAATGATGCCAGCCTCCCTCTCGTCCAGCTTCTCTCCAATGCAGGCAATGACTCCAAGTCCTTCTGCCAGGGCATGGCTACTTTTTGTCTAATCAGCTCATCTGACTCTCCAAAGACATGCCTTCTTTCTGAGTGTCCCAGAACTACCCAAGTGGCTCCACAGTCTTTGATCATGCCAGGGCTGATCTCCCCAGTGAAGGCCCCATTAGTTACTTTGTAGCAGTTCTGTGAAGCCACAGCAATCTTGGCATCTAGCTTCTGCCGAGCAAAGTCGATGTAGGTGGTAGGAGGTACACAGACAACCTCAGTATCGGCCGGCACCTTAGCCGCGTTTAGAGTGGTCATGAATGAGTTCTCCCAGACCCTTCTTTCGCCCGTTCATTTTCCAGTTTCCCTCAACGAAGAACTTCCTGGAGGGCGCCATGGTGTTAGAGTCGACACACTGAAGGTCAGCAGCACCCACACATTTTGTTTTATACAAACTTTTTAAACGTCATTTTTATCACTAATTACTAATGATCTGTTACTTTTATCTCGTCTCTTCAAGTCTTTCTTGCTCCTTGCCTATTTCTTCCCCTCCCATCCCCTACTGTTATGCAGATGACACAACGCTCCTTGCTGAAACTGAGGAGGACCTCATGAACTTGCTGCGAAGGGTCAAGGACTGCAGCCTTCAGTATGGACTGAGGCTCAATGTCAAGAAGACAAAGATTCTCACCACTGGACCAATTGGCAGC